AGCTCGGAGTGTCCGAACATGAAAAATTCTGTAATTTTATCCTGCCAAAGAAGCCATCCGACATAACGTTCAAAGAAACAGTTGAATGCCTGACTCGTATATTTGGTGAACGGTCATCAATATTTCACACTAGATACCAGTGTCTTCAACTTGTAAAGTAAGTACAGGACGATTGCGTAACGTATGCAAGTATCGTGAACCGGGAATGTGAGCGGTTCCGATTACAGGAAATGTCCTCAGATCAATTCAAGTGCCTTATTTTTGTATGTGGATTACAATCTCCAGTAGATGCAGATATTAGAACACGAATTCTAGCGAGAATCGAACAAGATCCTAATATCAGTCTACAATCAGTATCCGAAGAGTGTCAAAGAATGGTTAATTTGAAGCATGACACGAATCTCGTAGAAAGGAACAGTGAACACGTTGGAATTAATGCTTTACGTAAATCTTTTAATGGAAATAAAGATTGGAACTCCCATAAAATCCCGAATCAAGTGAAACACAAAACGTCTTGCTGGCGATGTGGTAAGTGTCATTCTGCCAATGCTTGTTACTTTAAAAAACGAGTATGCTTTCAATGTGGTAAATCTGGTCATGCTCAAGTATGTTGTAAAAGTAAACCAAAGGTTTCTGACCGTGAGCATAAGTTCCGTAAAGGAAATAAGATGCAGACTTCAAAAGAACTACCACATAACCGTAAGTTAGAGGAAGATTGCGTGGTTGCTTCTATATCAATTGAACCGGAAATAAAAAGAGTGTTCTGTGATGCTATCAGAATTCTACCAGTAACGGCGGAAGCGGTTAAAGAAGCCACGACTAGTGATCCTCTACTTAAAAGAATAAAAGAAGCTGTTTTAAAGGATTGGAAAGAGGACAAAGCTGATCGAGAGTTTCACCAATTTTTCTTGAGACGTGAGTCTATATCGATTTATGATAATTGTTTGATGTATGGTGAACGTGTTGTTATCCCTAAATCTCTTCAGCTTTTTGTGCTTAAACAGTTTCACATTGATCATCCGGGAATAAACAGAATGAAAGCAGTTATGCGTAGTTATGTCTATTGGCCATTCATGGATAAGGCTGTGGAAGAATACGTAGTGAGATGTCGGCGATGTGCCAAAGATCCACCGAAGGTAGAATCCCAGTCATGGCCAGAAACGAAAAAACCTTGGGTCCGACTACATGTTGATTATGCTGGACCAATAAGTGGACAATATTTTTTGGTGGTGGTTGATTCATACTCAAAATGGCCTGAAATTTATGTGGCACGAAGACCATCTACGTCTGAAACACTGCTACATCTGAGACAACTATTTGGTAGGTTTGGTACACCTAATGTTTTGGTTTCAGATAACGGGACGCAGTCCACGTCGTTACAGTTTACGGAGTTCTGTAAACACAATGGAATCGAACACGTTAGAACTCCACCGTATCACCCTAAGTCGAACGGGCAGGCAGAAAAATTTGTTGATATTCTTAAACGAGCTCTCTTAAAGATGGGAGGAGTAGGCAACGTAGAAGAGGCTTTGCAACAATTTCTCATTTCTTATAGAATTACACCAAGTCCAAACTGTCAAGATGGAAAATCTCCAGCCGAAATAATGTTTGGCCGACCGATTAGAACATTTTTTAATGCTTTGAACCCGAAAGAGAGAATCAGTGGACTACAAAAAAATAAGAAAGGGAATTGCCCGAAAATTCGAGAATTCAAAGCAGGTGACTCAGTCTATGCACGGGATTTCCGGCCTGGCAAGCCAAAATGGATATTTGGGTTTATAGAAAAACGACATGGTACAGTATTATATGAAGTGATGGTCGAAAATATGCTAATTATTAGACATGTAAATCAACTGCGAGATAGAAAATGTGTTTACGAGTCATCTAAACTCAAACCATTACCAATGGAAGTATTATGTGATACATTTGATATTCCACCACCACCACCACAAGTTGAAATGAGAAAAAATGATCTAGAATCAGAAGTTAGACGAAGGTCATTCAGGAAACGGAAACAAACGAAATTTTTTCAAGTAGACCCCAAAGTGAAATCATACGATCAAACTTCGCGAGGGAGGTGATGTGTGGACGAGAATGATAATGATTGGTTGTCTCGATGAGTCAGACATTAGACAGGATGACAGGTGTTATGTGTTATATATATATTCCCCTATCCTTATTATGTATTGACTGTTTTTTGTTGATGGACACTTATTGATTGACTGTTCTTTGTGTCGGATTTTGGTGTGAAATATATTGACGTTATAGTCAGGCTAATCTCGTGTTCTTGATCTGAGTTCTGTTGAAGTCCTGTAGAATAGACACTGGGTGGGAATCTAGTGTAGATCTCGTCTAAGATAAATTAACGTCCCACATACGTGTAGGAAGTAAAAGGACTGTTATAACAAGAACCCCTACTGTTATAACCAGCATCCTCTATTTTACGTTTATAAAAATTAGCGACGGCATACTTACGTTTATAACAATTGGCGACGGTGATTAAAACGGATCTACGCTTACGTATTCAGTTAAAGTGAACTTTGTATCAAGAAAATGGATGATCTGAAAACCTTATTGCAACAGCAAAATACTCTTATCGAATTATTAGTCAAAAATATGTCGATATCCTCAAGAACTGACGTGTCTAATTCCACTATGACTCCGGATTCTATTGCAAATTCAATAACTGAATTTAGATTTGATCCAGAAAGTGGAGTTACTTTTGAGGCGTGGTTCAAACGCCATGAGGATTTATTTATTAATGAATGTAAAGAGTGGAACGAAAGTTCGAAATTGAGATTATTATTACGAGAGCTCGGAGTGTCCGAACATGAAAAATTCTGTAATTTTATCCTGCCAAAGAAGCCATCCGACATAACGTTCAAAGAAACAGTTGAATGCCTGACTCGTATATTTGGTGAACGGTCATCAATATTTCACACTAGATACCAGTGTCTTCAACTTGTAAAGTAAGTACAGGACGATTGCGTAACGTATGCAAGTATCGTGAACCGGGAATGTGAGCGGTTCCGATTACAGGAAATGTCCTCAGATCAATTCAAGTGCCTTATTTTTGTATGTGGATTACAATCTCCAGTAGATGCAGATATTAGAACACGAATTCTAGCGAGAATCGAACAAGATCCTAATATCAGTCTACAATCAGTATCCGAAGAGTGTCAAAGAATGGTTAATTTGAAGCATGACACGAATCTCGTAGAAAGGAACAGTGAACACGTTGGAATTAATGCTTTACGTAAATCTTTTAATGGAAATAAAGATTGGAACTCCCATAAAATCCCGAATCAAGTGAAACACAAAACGTCTTGCTGGCGATGTGGTAAGTGTCATTCTGCCAATGCTTGTTACTTTAAAAAACGAGTATGCTTTCAATGTGGTAAATCTGGTCATGCTCAAGTATGTTGTAAAAGTAAACCAAAGGTTTCTGACCGTGAGCATAAGTTCCGTAAAGGAAATAAGATGCAGACTTCAAAAGAACTACCACATAACCGTAAGTTAGAGGAAGATTGCGTGGTTGCTTCTATATCAATTGAACCGGAAATAAAAAGAGTGTTCTGTGATGCTATCAGAATTCTACCAGTAACGGCGGAAGCGGTTAAAGAAGCCACGACTAGTGATCCTCTACTTAAAAGAATAAAAGAAGCTGTTTTAAAGGATTGGAAAGAGGACAAAGCTGATCGAGAGTTTCACCAATTTTTCTTGAGACGTGAGTCTATATCGATTTATGATAATTGTTTGATGTATGGTGAACGTGTTGTTATCCCTAAATCTCTTCAGCTTTTTGTGCTTAAACAGTTTCACATTGATCATCCGGGAATAAACAGAATGAAAGCAGTTATGCGTAGTTATGTCTATTGGCCATTCATGGATAAGGCTGTGGAAGAATACGTAGTGAGATGTCGGCGATGTGCCAAAGATCCACCGAAGGTAGAATCCCAGTCATGGCCAGAAACGAAAAAACCTTGGGTCCGACTACATGTTGATTATGCTGGACCAATAAGTGGACAATATTTTTTGGTGGTGGTTGATTCATACTCAAAATGGCCTGAAATTTATGTGGCACGAAGACCATCTACGTCTGAAACACTGCTACATCTGAGACAACTATTTGGTAGGTTTGGTACACCTAATGTTTTGGTTTCAGATAACGGGACGCAGTCCACGTCGTTACAGTTTACGGAGTTCTGTAAACACAATGGAATCGAACACGTTAGAACTCCACCGTATCACCCTAAGTCGAACGGGCAGGCAGAAAAATTTGTTGATATTCTTAAACGAGCTCTCTTAAAGATGGGAGGAGTAGGCAACGTAGAAGAGGCTTTGCAACAATTTCTCATTTCTTATAGAATTACGCCAAGTCCAAACTGTCAAGATGGAAAATCTCCAGCCGAAATAATGTTTGGCCGACCGATTAGAACATTTTTTAATGCTTTGAACCCGAAAGAGAGAATCAGTGGACTACAAAAAAATAAGAAAGGGAATTGCCCGAAAATTCGAGAATTCAAAGCAGGTGACTCAGTCTATGCACGGGATTTCCGGCCTGGCAAGCCAAAATGGATATTTGGGTTTATAGAAAAACGACATGGTACAGTATTATATGAAGTGATGGTCGAAAATATGCTAATTATTAGACATGTAAATCAACTGCGAGATAGAAAATGTGTTTACGAGTCATCTAAACTCAAACCATTACCAATGGAAGTATTATGTGATACATTTGATATTCCACCACCACCACCACAAGTTGAAATGAGAAAAAATGATCTAGAATCAGAAGTTAGACGAAGGTCATTCAGGAAACGGAAACAAACGAAATTTTTTCAAGTAGACCCCAAAGTGAAATCATACGATCAAACTTCGCGAGGGAGGTGATGTGTGGACGAGAATGATAATGATTGGTTGTCTCGATGAGTCAGACATTAGACAGGATGACAGGTGTTATGTGTTATATATATATTCCCCTATCCTTATTATGTATTGACTGTTTCTTGTTGATGGACACTTATTGATTGACTGTTCTTTGTGTCGGATTTTGGTGTGAAATATATTGACGTTATAGTCAGGCTAATCTCGTGTTCTTGATCTGAGTTCTGTTGAAGTCCTGTAGAATAGACACTGGGTGGGAATCTAGTGTAGATCTCGTCTAAGATAAATTAACGTCCCACATACGTGTAGGAAGTAAAAGGACTGTTATAACAAGAACCCCTACTGTTATAACCAGCATCCTCTATTTTACGTTTATAAAAATTAGCGACGGCATACTTACGTTTATAACAATTGGCGACGGTGATTAAAACGGATCTACGCTTACGTATTCAGTTAAAGTGAACTTTGTATCAAGAAAATGGATGATCTGAAAACCTTATTGCAACAGCAAAATACTCTTATCGAATTATTAGTCAAAAATATGTCGATATCCTCAAGAACTGACGTGTCTAATTCCACTATGACTCCGGATTCTATTGCAAATTCAATAACTGAATTTAGATTTGATCCAGAAAGTGGAGTTACTTTTGAGGCGTGGTTCAAACGCCATGAGGATTTATTTATTAATGAATGTAAAGAGTGGAACGAAAGTTCGAAATTGAGATTATTATTACGAGAGCTCGGAGTGTCCGAACATGAAAAATTCTGTAATTTTATCCTGCCAAAGAAGCCATCCGACATAACGTTCAAAGAAACAGTTGAATGCCTGACTCGTATATTTGGTGAACGGTCATCAATATTTCACACTAGATACCAGTGTCTTCAACTTGTAAAGTAAGTACAGGACGATTGCGTAACGTATGCAAGTATCGTGAACCGGGAATGTGAGCGGTTCCGATTACAGGAAATGTCCTCAGATCAATTCAAGTGCCTTATTTTTGTATGTGGATTACAATCTCCAGTAGATGCAGATATTAGAACACGAATTCTAGCGAGAATCGAACAAGATCCTAATATCAGTCTACAATCAGTATCCGAAGAGTGTCAAAGAATGGTTAATTTGAAGCATGACACGAATCTCGTAGAAAGGAACAGTGAACACGTTGGAATTAATGCTTTACGTAAATCTTTTAATGGAAATAAAGATTGGAACTCCCATAAAATCCCGAATCAAGTGAAACACAAAACGTCTTGCTGGCGATGTGGTAAGTGTCATTCTGCCAATGCTTGTTACTTTAAAAAACGAGTATGCTTTCAATGTGGTAAATCTGGTCATGCTCAAGTATGTTGTAAAAGTAAACCAAAGGTTTCTGACCGTGAGCATAAGTTCCGTAAAGGAAATAAGATGCAGACTTCAAAAGAACTACCACATAACCGTAAGTTAGAGGAAGATTGCGTGGTTGCTTCTATATCAATTGAACCGGAAATAAAAAGAGTGTTCTGTGATGCTATCAGAATTCTACCAGTAACGGCGGAAGCGGTTAAAGAAGCCACGACTAGTGATCCTCTACTTAAAAGAATAAAAGAAGCTGTTTTAAAGGATTGGAAAGAGGACAAAGCTGATCGAGAGTTTCACCAATTTTTCTTGAGACGTGAGTCTATATCGATTTATGATAATTGTTTGATGTATGGTGAACGTGTTGTTATCCCTAAATCTCTTCAGCTTTTTGTGCTTAAACAGTTTCACATTGATCATCCGGGAATAAACAGAATGAAAGCAGTTATGCGTAGTTATGTCTATTGGCCATTCATGGATAAGGCTGTGGAAGAATACGTAGTGAGATGTCGGCGATGTGCCAAAGATCCACCGAAGGTAGAATCCCAGTCATGGCCAGAAACGAAAAAACCTTGGGTCCGACTACATGTTGATTATGCTGGACCAATAAGTGGACAATATTTTTTGGTGGTGGTTGATTCATACTCAAAATGGCCTGAAATTTATGTGGCACGAAGACCATCTACGTCTGAAACACTGCTACATCTGAGACAACTATTTGGTAGGTTTGGTACACCTAATGTTTTGGTTTCAGATAACGGGACGCAGTCCACGTCGTTACAGTTTACGGAGTTCTGTAAACACAATGGAATCGAACACGTTAGAACTCCACCGTATCACCCTAAGTCGAACGGGCAGGCAGAAAAATTTGTTGATATTCTTAAACGAGCTCTCTTAAAGATGGGAGGAGTAGGCAACGTAGAAGAGGCTTTGCAACAATTTCTCATTTCTTATAGAATTACGCCAAGTCCAAACTGTCAAGATGGAAAATCTCCAGCCGAAATAATGTTTGGCCGACCGATTAGAACATTTTTTAATGTTTTGAACCCGAAAGACAGAATCAGTGGACTACAAAAAAATAAGAAAGGGAATTGCCCGAAAATTCGAGAATTCAAAGCAGGTGACTCAGTCTATGCACGGGATTTCCGGCCTGGCAAGCCAAAATGGATATTTGGGTTTATAGAAAAACGACATGGTACAGTATTATATGAAGTGATGGTCGAAAATATGCTAATTATTAGACATGTAAATCAACTGCGAGATAGAAAATGTGTTTACGAGTCATCTAAACTCAAACCATTACCAATGGAAGTATTATGTGATACATTTGATATTCCACCACCACCACCACAAGTTGAAATGAGAAAAAATGATCTAGAATCAGAAGTTAGACGAAGGTCATTCAGGAAACGGAAACAAACGAAATTTTTTCAAGTAGACCCCAAAGTGAAATCATACGATCAAACTTCGCGAGGGAGGTGATGTGTGGGCGAGAATGATAATGATTGGTTGTCTCGATGAGTCAGACATTAGACAGGATGACAGGTGTTATGTGTTATATATATATTCCCCTATCCTTATTATGTATTGACTGTTTCTTGTTGATGGACACTTATTGATTGACTGTTCTTTGTGTCGGATTTTGGTGTGAAATATATTGACGTTATAGTCAGGCTAATCTCGTGTTCTTGATCTGAGTTCTGTTGAAGTCCTGTAGAATAGACACTGGGTGGGAATCTAGTGTAGATCTCGTCTAAGATAAATTAACGTCCCACATACGTGTAGGAAGTAAAAGGACTGTTATAACAAGAACCCCTACTGTTATAACCAGCATCCTCTCTTTTACGTTTATAACACTTTTCTTAATGATTGATAAATTAGGCCAATTTTGATGTGCACTGCTGAGGAGTCCCACAATAGGACGAAACGGCCGTCCAGTGCTTCCAGGTTTTCCCTGGTGGTCTAGCTTCAATTGACGCACGCTTTCAACTATGAAAATACTAAATCTCCACAAAACCCATTCTGATAATCACTTTTGATGTGTTCATTTGTGGCTGGTTGACCTGAGTATCAAACTACTAAGGATTTTCTGGTTCTAGTATTTTCACTCCCCATGATTTCAGTAATTTGTTCACCGAATGTATGTTCATCCATATAGGTGAATAATACTGTACACACATTATTCATGATAAAACTAGATAAAAAAAAACACTATTTGTAGAGATTTTCACCACAAAATTGTATTCATACACTACTTATATTCAATCACAATACATTTGTGTAATGAATCAATAAAAATTACTCCATAGAAAATTCGAAAACAGAGTATTCCCAACATGGATAATGTTATTCGAAAGCTCATTCGAAGTTATCTTAAATTTAAAAAGAAAATAACATTATAGACTAAATGTTTAAATATATAGCATTGCAAGCACTTTCCCGTTCATTTAGTGAATGACTGTTGCCTATAAGAGCAGATTTCATTTTAGTCAACTAGAACTATCTAGACATGCCTTCTGTGGGCACTCTACTGTAGGACATTGCGTTATGAAAAACCCAAATAAAGCGAATGTTAGAGCTCAAATTGTCTACGCAAAATACTCAACATTCACTGACCGGATACTATCAGTAACAGCGTTTTTGGGAGAGGACATATCAGCTTCCAGCTGAAGAGGAAATTAAGAAGAGACGTTGGAAGTGGATCGGACATACATTAGGGAAATCACCAAACTGCATCACGAGGCAAGCCCTAAGTTGGGATCCGAAAGGGAAGAGGAAAAGAGGAAGGCAAAAGAACACATTACGTCGGGAAATAGAAGCAGATATGAAAAAGATGAATGTTAACTGGAAAGGATTGCCCAGGACAGGGTTGGATGGAGAATACTGGTGTGAGGCCTATGCTCCTCCACGATGGGTAACAGGCGTAAGTCGTCCAAGTTAGTAAAGCAAGATAAAAACTTCCCTGCGATAACCACAGAAGAATTAGTGTGGTGTAGCCAACTCGGAGTTGGTAAACACCAAAATCAAGAACATTAAACAGATTTCAGACATGACCATGGACGTATAGATAAAATCTCCATTCCTCGATAAATTTCATAAATTATTTTTACATACCAACGCATGATTATAGATAGCTTTTCTGACTTACAATCGGCATTGAACCTAGTCAACCCGGAAGACTTATACCAGTGTTATCCATTGGGATGGATACCAAAATAGCACGTAAACATTTCGAGGACCCTCTATTCGAACGCTGTAGGTCAACTCAGCTTAGAGGAAACCATCTTATGGATCATCTATGCTGAATAACGTCCATCAGAACTGTTGAAATTCTCCATTTTCATGCAAATTCGTCGTGGATTGGCTCCTAAAATCACTTTTTCAATCAAGCTATCAGCTATTAATCTCCTATAAGGAGAATCACTTACCAACTTGAAGTACACAGATGACATAGTTCATTTTTTAAAGACATCGACAAAATACAACTTCTTTAATATATTTAGTAACAATGAGAGGATGTTGAAGTACTTCTCTCTCTTCAAATGAGGGAAGGAGCTTTAGAATTATTCTTGGTTAAAGAATAATTTTACCTCAGTGTGGTTAAAAGTGTTCTAAAACTAAAACTATCTCATCTTACCACACATTCAAAAACCTTCCTCAGTTTATGAAGTTAGTAAGATATCTGTCTACACAACAACGGGTAAGTATTCTGCGTAGTACTTTGTTCAGGAGGAAAATGTGTGTATGCTACTAGTATAAATTAGTGGAACCAAACACTGAGTAATTCTGAGTGTAGATCTAGCGTCCAAGGTAAATACAGTAAATCGAATGATGAGGTAGGGAATCGTCATCTGCTGAGGTAATAAAGATATGTGTTACCCATCCTCATCTTTAGATTTCTTGATTCGGACTCATGAGACAGTTTTAACTAATAGTTGGAAACAGGTTTTATGGCTCAAAATTGGATCAAATGTGTCATTCACGTTCCTTAAATCTATGTTCTTTATTTTATTTTATATCTTCTTCTTGTACCTAGTTCCTTCCATCCGAAACACACTCTTCATGTCTTGTTTAAAACTATTATTTACAGTTCTTTGTTTTACAATTTGTCGATTTCCTCTCATTGTGCTGATATGAAGTAATTTTCTACAGGTAAAATTTTTTCCAGGAAATATAAATTAAAATTTCAACTACTTTCAAGTTTGTGAGTATGCATAAAATATACGTGAAATGAATATGAGTTTTGGGTCACGAGACAAGTTTAACTACTGTCTACTTCAACAAAAATAAATCTCAGACACTATAAAACCATAAATAACTTCAACCAGTCTATCTTCAGCTGCTGCGACAAAAATTCTTTACCGGTTAGTATTCAGTGTCTGAATGACCAATATTAGAATTTGAGGAAAATACACAAATCACTTTAAGTCTCATATTCAAAGGAAAGATTTTATCACAATCATTCATTATATCCTTGGTTGTTTTCTTTCTGACTCACGAGATAAAAATTAGAAAGTTAGAATATGAACATCCCATACGAAAGTAGATCCCAAATGTACTCATCGATAATGACAAAATGAAAATATTAGTTCTAGGGAAATAACGATAACAAGTATGAGCTTTTTTTAATATTTTAGTTTACACATCGAAAAGTCCAACTTGTCTAACATTAAACGTTTTAAAATTAAGGTGAAAGGAAAGTAGAAATACCCAAAAAACAGAGTGGATTCATAAATACACTTTTTAAACACTATAAAATACTATGTCAGTAGATAGTATCTCGAGTATCAACAATTCCATTAAGCTTGCTCCAAAAACTGTTATCAAATATATATTCACAATGATCTTAACTGTCATGATTTGATTTGTTCTTATCACAATATGAAATGAGTGAATTAAATGTAGATTGACAAAAGGTCTATGCAATGATCCTAAGTAGGTAAGCGAAAGGAAAAGAGATTGTAAGAGTATCACTCATAGACACAACATAAGACACTTTCTAGACTGAGATTAAAGTCAGAAGTTAGTAAGATTATCATTGCGATCGAGTGACTGAACGATAAATGCCAAATAATTTCATAACAAATAGATTTCAGGGCTCCATCTCATAACAATATTGGAAAAGTCATAACGAATTTGAGGCTGAAAACAGCACCTAGATATTGAGTCAACTTCAGATGTTTTAAAGGATTAAAACTCATGATTATTGAATAAAGTGAATGATATGTTAGCTAGGGTTTGGAAGCTGGACATAAATTAATTCGAATCTCTTTGGCCACTGATTGTTTCTATATTAAAAGAAATGACAGGAATCTTCTTTTGATAGCTAAAAAATAGCTTTTGTAAAATCCTACCAATAATCTGGGAACACTTAAACTGAATATACACACCCTTCAATAGGTATTAAAAACAAGAAACTCGTGTTGACTCAACTGTAGCTGCGTCTCATGGCTCTATGGCAGTTTCTTTAATCAAGCTGTCTCATAATACTATCACTGAGGAACTAACCAAATAAGGACTTTTTTCTCAAACTTTGAATCAGATCAGACGTTACGATGAAGTCATTGATTTTTGCTTATCCCTCCTATTTTACCCATTTTGGTTGGGATTTTGAAGACGGAGGTTTGCTTTACCCAAGTCCGAACACCATCTACTCCATCGCATTTGTCTATGAATGTTAGCCTGAGCTATCTAGCAGGGTAAAAATTGAATTTTTGTAAGATTAACGCGAGTCAATCAACATTTCTTTTTATTCCCACAACACAAATAAGCTTGATTGTTACCAGACAGCGATTATGGAACCCTTCATTCACATATTCCTGTGCTTGGCTTTGAGCCACACCACGAATGAGGGTTAGTGATACCACCCGAGAAAAATAGGCAGAGAGGGATTCGAATCTGCTGACTAGTGTTTAAAAATCGGACACATAACCATCAGTCCATCGCTTATATATCTGTGAAATTACCTTGCTGCATAAGACGTAACAATAAGACAAGGTGTGTTTGACAAGTAAGTGTGATTATTAGCATAACTTCATGTAATTTTTACATTAATATTATAATTACAAGTTTACACTTAGCTTTGAAAATAAAAAAGCTCATCAGAAGTTGAGCAAATAAGAGAAAAATGAATCCGGTATAATCACTCATTATCTAAACACAACTGTGAATAATTATGACATAAATGACCAAATAGATCGAACACACATAACACTTTCACACCACTTGCTGTCTACAATATCATTAATTAAATGAATAGTGACTTTTATTTCATTAGTATTTCAGTTCCAAAAAAATACTCAATAATTGAAGCTCTCATATACGTTTACTTTTAAGGAAAAAGAGAATTATGATATATCATGAAGCTAAGGAAAATAATGGTGAAATAAATACGAAACATCACAAGTAAAAATGGAAACATTGTTATATATATATATATATATGTGATGTAGAGGTTGTAAGCTTTGCGACAGTTAAAAATCTCACCAATAACAATTTTTCTTTGCGATAACAGGATGGAAATTACGTAAGTTTTATAAATTAGAGAAGGGACTATTTGGAATTATGTATCTATGTATGTACGTACGCATGCTGTTTTGGTCTGAATACTCTGAACGATAAAAAATATACTAAAAAAATTAACTTCAATATGAAATACGATGCATAAATGTGAACT